TTTTTTTTTTTTTAAGCATTCAGTAAAATATATTACACTATTCAATTTTCAAATTTCAATTATTAATTATTAATCTGTATAGAATATACTAATATCTTCAAATTTACAATGTATCATATAAAAATAAAAACGATCGATTTATTACAATGGAAAACATTTATGATCGCCCCTTTTTTCTCTAAGTGGATGACTACAAGAAAGTGAAAAGAAATTCAACAAGGTATGTATATTAAACTAATAATAATATGCATTTTTAGATACACTTTCATAATTTCAATTACTTAATTATAATTAATGAATATATATTATTACCATTATTTATCGTTTAAGCAAGAAAGTTAACGTATTTTGAAGTAAATATTAGGTGTGAATAAACAAAATTGGAGTTCAGAGAATTGAGGGTGCATTTGGTTTGGACTTTGGAGTGGTGTAGAATGTGAAAGGACAAGTTAATTCATTGTCCAATATACAGCACCTTTCCTTGATGCATGAATAAGTAATCACTATCGATGTGTATCAGGGATTTTGTGTGAAATACTCACTTCGTTCCCTTAATTGTCACGTTTCATTTCTCTAGAGTCAAATTACATTAACTTTAATAAATATTTTAATATGTATTTTATTATCATATTGATATTAAAAAAAATTATAAATTATAAGTACTATTTTTTGTATAACTTTTAAATAATCTAATTCAATTTTTCTTTTAAAAAATTTATTATAAAAAAATGAAACGTGATAAGTAAATGGAAGCGAAAAAATAGGGAGTAACTTTATGTGCGTGAAATAGTGGGTAATTTTATGAAATTTGTGTATTAGATTAGGTGGAAGTCACTTTCAGGAAGCCCACGGGTCAAGATGACCTTTCTTTTCAAGTTGGAATGCAATGAATTTAAGTGATGAAGTTGCGGGCATTGGGAAAGAGATGAGTCACTTTGTTGTTATCTTTTGAGTTCTCTTGGTACATATATTTGGTCTATGCGGATATTGTTATATTTGACCAATTATGGGATCAACCTAAATTGATTAGACGAATACCCTTTTATTTTTCTTTTCTTTTTACTAAAGTTGTATCCGCACACGTGCGTTTTAATGGTTATCTCGATTTTTTTTTTTTTGGTTGGAGATTTTTTTTAACTATGTCAATGATCTATGTTATTTGACTTTTAAACATTTTGCGGATCTCGCAGGGAGAGCTGTCAAAACAGGTCAACCCATCTCAACCTAGCCTAAGCCTTACGGGCTTTTCAATTTAGCGGGCTAGGGCGAGGTGGCCCTCCACCTAAATGGGCCTTAAAATTTTCAGCTCAACCCAGCCTTAAGAGGGCCGCGGGCTAGGGCGGGCTGACCCTTCAATTTTTTTTTAGAATTTTTTTCTTGGTATCTTTAAATTTTTATTCGTGACATAGTCTTTTAATTATATGAACGACTTCTGTTTGTTTAGAGCGTACAAGAATCTTGATATTTGACAAGGAATCTCGTAATTGAAATGCAAATTCTATATCTCTGACTCTTCTTTTTTAATGTTACATGAATATTTTTTTAATACTTTTCTTTCACTTTCCCCATGTTCAGGGATTGATTCAATAAGTTTATATGTTGCGGTTTTTTAATTTATTTCAACATCATTGCTGATTTTATCATTATAATCCATAAAAAAATTAAAATTCATGAAATTTGCTAGTGTTGTCAATTTTCTTTGGGTATTAAAACTTGATCTTTTTCTAAACTGAAGAGCAATTCAATTATTAATAATATATTAAAGTAACCAAATTAATCATTGGCTACTTAAAGTAATATTTTCTTTTGAAAAAAAGTTATTATTGGCCACTTAAAATTTTCCTATTTCGTTGTTAATTAAGAAAAAGAAAAACTAATCTTGTCGTACTACATGCATATCACAAATCTAAATTCTAGTTGATATAGACAGGTGAATGAGCAATTTAAGGCTAAGGAATGAGGATTATAGTTAATAATTTTTTAGTTTTTATTTTTTTAAATATTAAATATTCAAATTTAAATTTAATTAATTTTTGCCCATGGGCCGGCCCAGGCCCAGCTTCGGTCAAGCCTCAAGGGCCAGCTGGCTGACTTGGGCCGGGATTATAAGCCTCACTTTTAGATGGGCTAAAAAAATCCTAACCAACCCTACCCAAGTAGCGGGTTGGGTTGGGCTAGCCTCACGAACCAAGCCCATTTTAACGGCTCTACTCGTAGGGAAGAGTTTTATGTCTAAACTATCATTCATCTCTCCTGAAACGCTTTGTTTAATTAACTGTATGCCTCGTCTCACAATAATCCATGCTAACCAGTGTCAGCCATTCAACTTTTGTATTTGAGGGACACAATAAATTATATAAGAGATATATACACGATTTTTAACGAAGCTAACGGGTTTCGATGATTTCTCCGCCATCAATGCAGGTCTGCCTCTGCCTCCTATTATTCTTTATTAATAAAAAGGTTAATGACTATATATTATAATGTGGAACAAGAAAAAGTGATAGGAAAAAGGGTAAAAAGAACAGCCAAAAGAAAGAAGTGAAAGGGGGGTTATGATCAAGTTTTTGACAAGACAGATCTTTGATAGAGACATCAAATGGATGAAGGGACAGGAGTGGAAGTGGCCAATAATTATAGGAGTCTGGAACCGAAATGTAGACTTTTTGGACTCAAAATACTTAATTAGGTGGAAAAAAAACTTAGTTATCAAAATATATAAAACGCAGTAATGAACGACGTTTTACCTTAACGTACGTTTGGGACGTTAAGATAAAACGTGGGTTAATACTGTGTTTTATATAAAACGCCTTTTAATACCGCATTTTATATAGAAGCTGATAAGACGTTTACCTAAAACGCGGTTCAAAAAGATGCTTTATGTAAAACGCCTTAATGAACCGCGTTTTGCTTCTTCAAATACTGTCCCCTTCCCTTCCACCACGCCCAAAACGGAATCCCTTCCCCCAAATTTTAAAAAATTACAGCGGTCCCCCCCCCCTCCGTTAATGATCAAAAAAGCTCGTGTGGATCCCACCCATCCCGTAAAAAGAAGATAGTATTGGTCCCACATCCTAGCTAAGGTCTTCTCTCGTTGTGGTTGCTCGTTTCTGAGTCAAATTTTCAATTCTTCAACATTCTAAAAAACAAAAATCGAGGTATTCCGATTTAATTTTTGTCGAAACTCGTATAAAAATGCATATTAGTTCTTTTACATGTGTTGTATGTTGTTTTGTATTTTTTTTTTGTGATTAAACTAGTATGTCATTTTTATCCGGACTTAGATATTAGTGTGCTAAAAAATATGTAAAAATTGAGAAATCATTATTATTTGGTAAAAAAAAAAGTTGATAAGTTTTTTTACAGTTGTATATGTATTTTCGTGAATGTTTTGTGATTAAATATTTTGGTTGTTTTTTATCTGGTTTATATTATTTATTTGCTTAAAGACTAGTAATATAGTGCCCTTTTAGGGTAGTAAAATGTAGTGCCTTTTAGTGTAGTAAAATGTAGTGCCTTTTAGCGTAGTAAAATGTAGTGCCTTTTAAGTAGTTTCCCTGTAGTTTAAGTATCTCTTATACTCAAAAATACGTCAAAATAACTGATAGATCAAACACAAACTCTATCCAATTAGAGTCAACATATAATTGGTGCCACTAGGCCGCAAATACTGAAACCCATATATGAATATTTAATGAGTAAATATTGTATAATTATAGAAATAAATTATTTAATTCACAAACAAACATATAAATTATAAAACTAACATGTAAAATAATAAAAGTAACACATACAAGAATTCAAGATATAATGGTGCTACTTGGCCGCAAATATCGAGCCTGGAACCCATAATTGAATATTTAATTATAAAAATAAATTATTTAATTTACAAACTAACATGTAAAATTATAATAAAACTAGCACATACAAGAATTCAGGATATCTTGGTGCTACTGGGCCGCAAATATCGAGCCTGGAACCCATATGTGAATATTTAATTATAAAAATTAATTATTTAATTTACAAACTAACATATAAAATTATAATAAAACTAACACATACAAGAATTCAGGATATCTTGGTGCTACTGGGCCGACAAATATCGAGCCTGGAACCTATATATAAATATTTAATAATTAAATATTGTATAATTATAAAAATTAATTATTTAATTTACAAACAAACATATAAAATTTATAAAACTAACATGTAAAATAATAAAACTAACACATAGAAGAATTTAGGATATCTTGGTGGTACTGGACCTCAAATATCGAGCCTGGAACCCTTATGTGAATACATAATAATTAAATATCGTATAATTATAAAAATTAATTATTTAATTTACAAACAAACATATCAAATTATAAAACTAACATGTAATTAATGTTATTTAATTTACAGTAGACGACATAAAGGTGCCACTTATTCATCCAGGACCTTCCAGCGATGAGCTACTATCGTTACAGGGCGATCATAGGTCCGCCCACATATGGGAGGGAGAGTTACTGACCCAGACTCTCCACGTTAGGAGAGTGGACGACATGTGGGACTTTCTGCATGACAGAGTTCTCCATCCCCGTGTAGTCACACGCTTGCGGGAGATGGGTTTCTACAGGATTTTGGAGATCGGGCGGCTGCAGCTCGATTGGTCTTTGGTCACGGCCCTGATAGAGAGGTGGCGACCGGAGACCCACACATTCCACCTGCCCATTGGCGAGGCCACCATTACACTGCAGGACGTGGATGTTTTATATGGGCTGCCCATTGATGGACACCCCGTTGCTCTGCTGCTTGGCATGAGAGAGTTGACACGTGTGCAGTACCTGGACATGCTGAAGTGGCTCACTACTTTCCGGGCAGAGGATGAGAATGTACTTATTGGGACCAGTTGTTTACCGTTGACGACTATTCGAC